ATTTGCGATGACTAATTCCATAATTTTGGAAAGCACAAGAACTAACGTTATTGTATGGTAATTGGTGGAGTCAGTGCTACCACATCTTTCAGGAACAGGAGTAAGGAATCCTCGCTGTCATATTGCTGAAATTTCGTTCTCCTCTGGATAGTGTTGATAGAAATGAACACTGATTCCTCTAGATCATGGCTACCATCTGAAGTGCCTTCTGTCGAACGTTATCGACTCCAGAAGAATTGTAGGTAGGCAGTGATAACAGCTTCTTCAACGCAGCTTCTGCAGTGAATACGATGTTGGATAAACCTGACAGTGGAGTAGGAGAAAACATGAGATTTTTGAGCTCCTTATCCTCTGGAACACGTGGGAGTAATGAAAACGTAAGAAATCGTCCGCCTCCATTGCTGATCGCGTGTACGCGTCAGATGCGACCAGTGCTACCATTCCCCGCTTCACTCACGAAGGCCATTAATGTGCCCGTAGGATCGTTATGGGGTTTGTACAGAATCATTTCCTGATTTTTTACTTGCGGATCAATTTCCCATAAATCTTACGCTGTATCACCTATACGGTTCAGGTTTCGGTATTCAAGCAGCCCTTGTGAGCTTGGTTTGCCACATCCCTCAGAAAGGACTTTTTTGATTTGGCGATGGAAGGATTTTGTTCTGACGAGTGCGCTACCAGTGTTCTAAACGCCTTTGCCAGGCGACTGCTAAGGTTATTTAGTAAAAAGTTTCAAGATAACTCCTTAGCAAGCGTGGATAACGCGTTAAGGTATGTAACATCATAGCATTCTCCTCCGCAGGATATCCTGTAGAGCTTATATATAACCAAACATTTGTGTTATATGGTTACTGGGAACCAGTGGTGTTCTTGAACGTATTTTGTCGACTATTAGTTCATTGTTAGTATGCGCAAGATCAACTATCCACTGTCTCCCGTTGGTTCGAATTCTGCTAGGAGAGGTGAAGTTTTGGTAGAGAAATTAGTTCTTGCAAACAGCTTTTAAGCCTTACGCCATCAATTGCTAATATTTCCATGTCATGCACATTATATTATTTCACTATGAGAATGAGACTGTATGACTTGTTAACCGAAACCTATAAACAGAGTTTTCATAGTAGTCCATTTCCGATGTAGTTTTTGTCGGGCAGTGACTTACGGCTACAGACATGTGTCTTGTTCCGCAACCATAGCCGACACCAAAGCGAATCAGTGTCGCGGACTCCTGAGTGATCACTAATTTCACATTGGTGGTTAACTTTGTACTACAGAATTGCATTACCACCTCTTCTAGTTTCATAGTTCCGAATCTGCAACCTACTGGGTAAATTGATCTCCGAATCAGCTTCCCAAGGCTTGACTAGGTCTATGTAATCATATGAGGTACCATGATTGTGAGGCCTGACCCCCTAAGTTCGGCTAACATATTATGCATGCCTTGTGCATTAAGGTTCATCTTTTGGGTCCTACGAGACGTCTCCATTAAAAGGCAATTCCAGGCGATCAAGAAGGAAAATCTAAGATGGAGGCGTTAACAGAAAACGGAACCTGGTGTTTTGGAGTCCATCAGAAAATAGGACAAATCGTCCAGTTGTGCAAGGTCTATGGAAAAAGTACAGCATCTTCACATGCTGTGCGATTACCCCATGGCAATACCATTGTCGCTAGTAAGACAGAATGTAGGTTGGCTTTTGTGAACCCATCGGTGTCTTCGTAGTTATCTCCTCGTTACTCAAGGGGTTCCATGTACAGTTGTTTCAGCCAATGCCTGAGTATTTACTAGCGACGAGTTTAAGCAACTTTTGTCCATAAATCGAATTTAATGGAGATCGTTATTCCAACATTAGACTACTCTTTGTTCAGTGGTCTGGCCATGTGATGGTGTAGCCAAAAAACTACCTGGGGCTTTAAAAACTTTCCTTGACACAATTTTACTGCGGTGTACCATTAGGCCGCACATCACTACGGATCATTCTGAGGTGGAGACAACTGCGTACTCGCTCGGATCTGATTAACCCAAATTGCATCGTACTGTTGATAAGCATTAGTGCTCGATAAAGCGAGGACAGATTGCACGCCAAACTGAGGTCAAGGGATAAAAGTTGAAATCGAGTTGTTTCGAAAAGGAAATAGTCAAATGGATGCGGAACGGGAGGACGGGCCATTACTTCGACATCAGTTAGACTAAGTGCGAAGTCAGCCTGTGTGCCTGAGCAAAGAACAACCAACCTACTGTAGATGGAAATTGGGTATTGCCTAGTGATCGCAGTGAGTAAGGTTCATTTCAATGTGAATCACAGTCCATTAAATTGAGGTTGCGTGTCGCAATCCAATCACACAACGTGTAATCCAAACTTGACCCTCCAATTAGTTATTTACCGTTGTGCCAAATGACGTTGCCCACCGTGACCCGGTAGCCAAAGGGGTAGTGGTGTGGGCTACTATTCCAATGGTCGTGGGTTCAAATCCTGCTGTCTCCACCTGATGAGATGAAATTACATCGAAACGCGTAGTGGCTGTGCAGTGTTTTCCGGTGAGCAATACCCAATTTCCATCTACTTTGAATACGGTCCCAGTGATCGCGGTGACTAAGGTTCATTTCAATGTGAATCACAGTCCATTAAATTGAGGTTGCGTGTCGCAATCCAATCACGCAACGTGTAATCCAAAACTTGACCCTCCAATTAAACAACCTACTGATTTGAATATGACAGTAAGAAGACCAAGTTCGGCAGATGCATACATTTCGGATTGTCTTATCAGTGCCGATAAAAATAACCGGTGAGTATGTAGACAGTTTGAGGGTGCAAAAATTCATACAACTAAAAGAGTAAAAATACGGTTTTCTTGACCCTAAAACCAAGGCAGCCTGCATTGGTATACGAGGCAATGACTTAATTCGGCCTATGGCAACAACCTCGGCTAACAGGATTAGCCGATAATCGGCATGACGCAGCGGGATCCTGAACTTCTTTTGGACCTCAATTCGGTGACGGGGAATCAACAAGTGTCTGGCGATCAAAGATGCCGGCGCCTTGCGCAAACTCGTAGTCCGACTTGAGCTTGGTTGTTGCACAAAGTCGAGTTGAGACCATTTTGGCACATGCTGCTTCATTCGGGAAGTCAGGGTATTATCGGTGCAGCCTATGTAATAAACTCCGCTGTTGCCTACAAATTGATATACGCACTGGGGAGTTGGCCCCCGATAGGCTGAGTTTCTTTTACTGGAAGCTGCAGCACCATATGAGTTCGATCGGTGATTGCAAATTCGGCACAAAGGACCATCTGTGAATGGTCATTTGTGCGGCAGAAATCAGACGTCTCGCAATCCTCAATGAAGCAAAGTCACCTGTAAAGAACAGCTCTAAGTAAACCGTTTTCTTAGATACGGTAGCTATATCACCGCTCATTACAAGAATGCGGCTGTGCTTCTGGCTGAATTTCTGAGAATAGCCATTTACAAGCAGCGTGTTGCTAATTAGCTCTACCCGTTGTCTGCACCGCATCGAAACTCACCGTAGGAAGGACGAAAGACAATGGTTCGACAATTCCCATGAAGCTATGGTGGTCATAATGAGAAACGCAGTCTAAAACGCTATCATTCAGGATATACGTAATCCAACGGCAGAGGAGGGTTAACTATCGCTGTCACGAGCCAGTGGCTTTGCTTGAAAGGTGTGCGGTAGCACGCAAACAGAGTTCAGCACTCTGCGCTGATTGCAACCGCAACTTCTTAGTTGTATTGTTCTGTATAAAACACAGTTTACTTTTACTTGTTTCAGTTTGATTTATCAAATTTGTCGAGTGCAAAGTTAAGCAACAAATCAGGTTATTGTAACTCAACCGATCTACTCTGAAATACAAACACTACCAAGAAGGGAAACAGCTAATCACGTTCCGATCCCGATCAATAGCCATAAATGAGCGATTAAAATGGACCTTACAAAGTTGGAAATGGCCGAAGGAACCTCGTATTAGTAACGATTGCTCAGGAAGCATTCGTTCACAAAGAAAAGTACCCAGCGGCCGTTTCAGCCTTTCGAAGCTCATCGATAGTGTGTTGTTTCTATACCGTCGAATGGAAAACATACACAACTTTCTGTTCAGTTTTCAGGTTAGGAGGACCAAGTAAATAACCGTAATAAAGCACGCCACTAGTCCTTCTAAACCATGAGCGTTTTCCACCTGTGGAAGCAGCGTAGGCCTCAGACAAGTGAGCTGCATTGTTAATTCCACATTATTCCATGACACCATAAGCTGAGCTAAGCAAAATTGGTAGTTACGCATTATTATTTGATAATCTGATGCATCAGCACTGCTTTTAAGGTGTTTTTAATAGCTCTTGCGCCCACGGTTACAGCACCTCAAGGAATTCGTCCTTGCTACATCGGTACTGATAACAACAATGTTGACCCAAGTGTATCAGCTTACCAGAGTGCTTACCGGGTGCACCTGGAGGTTAGCTAATTTATTCGCACACGCAACCTTCTTCACGGTAAGTACGACACCATGTAGAAGAACAACTTCGGGTTAGCTTACGTACAAACAAATTTTACTAACACATTTGTGTTACATTCACACCATTCACCGTTATTCGGTAAACCGTTTTACTGACTTGTCTAACCTTGCTCAGTTGCCCCGAAATCGGAGCGGCAACCATGCGTGACGCTATCGTCGCTCGTTTTCGGGTTATCCACCCCAACGGCCAATAGCTGACATGTGGCTTGTAAATCGCTTCTTTGATTTCACCATCCGACTGGCGCACATCGAGTGATAGACAGGCCAGCACACCGATGCAGACGAACGAATGCCACCAGGGTGGGGGATGACCGAGTCTCCGGTTCGGTTTCTGCTTCCTATTGGCAGTTAGCCAATTCGATGCCGCGAAACCGGGTTGAAAGTGACAATCATCTCTCACGCATACTGCGTTCGGAGGTGAACTTGTTCTCTATCCATTCAGAAGGGGTGACTTCATGGATTATTTGTAGGGAGAAATGTGAGTTTGCCGAACCCTACCTTGCAGTTATTAGACAGAAAACTTATGCTGCAACGATTATTATCAATGTAATGTTGAAATGGGAGAAAACTGCATTCGAGAGATCAATCCTTGTAATTCGAAATTCCCGAGACCATTAAGCTTCTCGGTAGCCGAACTATTGAAGACAGAGCAGGTTAATTCAAACGAAGTCAACCTTACGGATTTCAATTGCCCTCAGGCGACGGATTATCCACTACAAAAGAAAAGTTTGAATGGAATTAACCCCACATGGGGCGACAGCCCCACCAGCTGCGAATGGATCCCATTCCCACTTAGTAGCACTGTGGACACAAGGAATATTTTGCCTGACTGGACCAACGTACAGCAATCGAACACAAAGTTTGAAAGATGTATGTTCCCTCAGGACGTAAAGGAAATAGTGACTCAATTTGAAGACGTGAACCGTCAGCAGACCATATCAAGTTGCGAGTCGCCGACAGACAAATCACCCCCGAGTCCGTGCACACTGATGTTTCCGAATGGGATTATGCGCAGCTGGTATGGACTTATTGGAGTTTACGGTAAGTCTAGCTTGATTTGTCCGTTTGGCGCCTCTTAAGGTACAAAATTTTAAGCCAGCTTTCATAAAGGAACCAAACAAAGGTTTATTGCGTTGTGATTTGTCACCAATCGGCATCGTAAATATAGCAGATATCGGACAAAGGTATGATTGATATGCTTAGGAAATTGATCACATCGTTCTGGTGGCGGCCGCTTCGTCTGGAAAATGAAATACATGAAGTCCAACTATAGGTTCGCATAACTTAGGAATTCGTGGGGAGGTTTAATTTGATACCACTTACAAACATTAGCACTTAGTTCAGTTGGTCGACCCAGCTTGCAGGTGACGCAGCGTGAGCCAGATCCCAGAAATATACACACGAATGAAATTGTGACTAATTAAGATGGTCCTTAATTAAGATTCTAAACAACACCCGTACACAAGCTTCCAATTCTCAACTTGATGCGAAGAGAGACGTCAGCGAACTACGGTAGATTTTAGCCAAATCGGATTTAATACATATATTTCTCTACTCCCCCAGTCTTCAAATGTCCTTCTTCACATGTTTTATTCCACGCAGCTGACCTCTGCAATCTCTTGTGGATCACTACATATGTTTCCCGTCAGATGGGCTGCATATAAAAAATAGATCTTTCATTTCTTGATCATGCGGGAGACTGTACTCACACAGGGATAACTCAGCAAGCAGTGAGTTGTGTTTCACAGATGGTGTCATCCAACATAGGATTGGAGAGAAACCCATTCACAATGTGGAGTCGGCGTGTATGCAAGTTGTCAGTTGAGTAACGTCCTTGCCGAGCTATATGGAAAGTCCATATCAGTCTCATTTCTTCAACTGGTGAAGCGATGGCAATTGAGCATTACTGAAAGAGGCTCTGGAAGAGGGACACCACGTCAGACGCCATGTAAAAGCTTCCATATGACAGCTTCTGTCACTTATGATTGCTACGTATTAAACTTCCCTGGCTCTTGTTTCATCATAGATGTTTGCCACATTCCAACTGATAACGGAACAGGAGCAGTCAGTTAATTATCCGAAGAAGCGAGATTTCACTACAGAGTCTCCAATGTCATCCCGCCGCTGGTTTTCTTATTCAAGTCTGAATTGTTTGCAAGTGTAGTTCTTTAACGTTCTATAATATCAGGTGCTTTCCGGATTGTCTTCATAGATCCGTGTATGCAGGACGGACAAAACCCATCTACCAGTTAAGGCAAGCATTTTACTGTCACCAGAACTTTGACTGCTATGGTGGCATAATGGTAGATGCACCTGAAGGTACCTTCACTTTCGATGGCACTACCTTATCCGCCGATGTAACACTAGCTGTTCAACGTTTCATCGACCAGTGGGGAACAGAGTTGGCTTCCACATGTATTTGACGCATGTATTGCGTCATCTTTGTAAGCATAATATGAAATTTTGTTATTGTTACGACCTGCTGGATATGCTTTGATGACTCTCGCCACATTTATCGGGGACAGAATGATTTAGAGAATATGGCTGAGATAAAAGAGTCTTAAATTTGGGACGTTTGAAAAAATGCAGCACTCCTAACGCCTTGACAAGCTGTGAAACTCAGTCACTGTTATAACATTGCTCCACCATGACAATAATGAGGAACTTCCCTGTTACTTATAGAAGAGGAGATAACGAATCACTCTGCTCCACAAAGGGACAGATCACATATATATATATATATATATATATATATATATATATATGCTGAGGCTGATGTTGCATTCAGGATGCTTCTGCAACGCAGTTGGGCTAAACCAACGTACACTTAAACTAGGTCTTCTTAAGCCGGATGAACTTCATTCCACTTTATTTGGTTTGTTCTGCCTACCTGAATAATCTTCTATTTACCTGCACACGTTGCTAATTGTGGTTATCTTTAACTTCATCGCGTTTGTAGTGTTTTTAATAAATTTGTGGACAGTTCTTACTTATCGCGGATACGTGGCTAAACCTACTTACTCCGTATACTCATTTAGTGACGAGTTATATCACCGAATCTAAATGCGTTGTACAAGATTTTATTTGACATAGTCCTTTCAGATTATTGGTTCTAATAGATATGTGGTATATTTGATATATCTGATAACCTGATTTCAAGTGATTGGCTGTTTCTTGATATCCCCGATGTGGTTGCGTTTGATGTGCTTGTTGACATGGTGACTACCTGTCTATTAACCACTACCTCGTCCATACATGTGTCCAGGATACATTTGGTCGTTGCTGTAGGGGACGGGGTGCACGGTTCTCGTGGCCGTGCTACGCTCGAAGAATAGTTCCATGTATTCAGTGTGGAGTGGACCACGGTTCAGCCACCGTCTTGTGTGCGCTTGATTCCCCAAATACAGCGTGCTTGTGTTTACTTGTGAAGTGTGGGTCGGCTCCGTTGATGAAACCTGGCTCCTATCCGCTTGCCTCCCGGTCTTATTTCTTTGGGTTTACACTGCATCTGTGGTGTGTGGATGGAGCTGTGGTTGGTGGTCCCTCTTTAGGTGCAGGCGTCCTTTGGCTGGACACAATGACAGGCAAATCCGAAACCGGATGCCACCAACCATATATGGTGTCTCTTAGTGGGCTCGGTTTCCCGGTATTAGGAGAAACATACCTTATAATATATTGCTATTTTTAAAGTGGAATAAATTTTGTCCCTCCTACTTCCTGATGTCTGAGACATCTTATTCCAGCGCGTGGAGTATGCAGTTATGAATTAGTTTTCTGGTGTTCTTGCTTTAGTCCTTGGAATTGCCATGTTTTAAATCAAATAACCAGTGGGATACTTACAGTCTAACAATACATGCATCCGCCGATTCTTATAGTACCTTCGGTTACTTTGTTTAATGTGAAACGTTTTATATCTGGCAGCACTAGTTTCCAGTTGTGCTTGTCAATGTGGGAATGAACTTCACTACGCAGGGCACTTTGTACCTCGCGCTGTGCTAATTGACAAGCACCATATATGGAGTAAGTCCACGGTTTCAGTGCTAGTTAGTATACCAATCGGAGTGGCAAAGGTTTTTGGGCTGACACGCGTTTTCGCATCTAGTAAACCATCCACGTGCTGATGAATATACTTGTTTTGATCCGTGGGTGATAACAAACCTTTAAACTGCTTGGATAAGGCATATTCAGAGCACATAGTTACCATCTGTGAGAATTACCATCAACTGCGTTTGTTCTTTAACAACCATTAATCCGAGCATCTTACCCGGGTGCCGAATTATCTTTTCCTACATAGATAGATCCGGGCATCAAAAATGTACTCTGCGGAAACACAGACCGAACAGAAAACCAAGAACACCATTTACTACCCAACAGCTGGTTGCTTTGGAGAAAAAATTTCGTCAAAAACAATATCTCTCTATTTCAGGTATGTTGGTCGAATATTTTATTGTTGTATTGATAGCATGATTCAGTGACGTTAGCTAAGTGAAAGAATCGCGAAATGAACTTTCGCCTATTCACATCGTATATATCTGAAATGAAGTCGTGGTGGTATAAGGTAATATGCGCTTATTTCTGAATTTGAATCAAAATGGAATACGCTATCATTGTTAAACTATTTCCTGTCCACCCTAAGCAATCCATCCTGAGATCTGTCAAGGAGACCTTACCATACTCTACTACTTGAACAAAGACCACATTTGGCTATCTGAATAATCTCGTACACTATACCAGGTCACTGTTTCTCTGCTCATTGGGGTACGGCCTTGATCTTCATCCACAGTTCGAGGCCATAAGGCAAAATGGATTGACGGATTTCTACGGCAAAATCTGTCCAAACCTACCTGATGCGATTTGGGACTGAATTCCAGTCTGTACGTCCAGGTATGTTAAGGGGATATGGGTACACCGGAATCAGTAGAAAACGTAGACGATCTGGATGCTCGTTCAGATTAATCGGCCAATACAAATGCTGTGTTATCATCTACCCGTTCCACTCGGATACATTTGGTCTACGAAGCGGTTTAAACTACACAACCTTTCCACTTACAGTTAATACCGACTTTATGGCCTGTAGCGAAAACATAGTAAAATACCTATCCATACATATACCTAATGACCTATAAAGCATTTGGCGTCAGTAACATTTAGTACACTATGGTCCATGCGAAATAAACTACACTTAATGAGTTCAGAAAGGTTTGAAAGCAATCGGTTGGTATAGTTTGTCTGCTTGTTTGTGGGTAGTTTTCAAACCGTTCTGTAATCATGTGTTCTCGGTCGGTTCCAAGCATTTTACATAACTTCACTTAACCTTATGGATGATTAATTATACACGATGTCAGTCACGATCTATAAGTAAACCCGATGACAATAGTAACATGAAAATAAAACTGTTCAGCCAGTTGGGAATGGTCAGTAGCGGTGCAATTTTTGTATGTTCCAGCGTATTCCTCTCGAGGGTAAGATACTAAATGGCCACAAATTCGAAGCACGCACCAAGTCGGCGCTTTACAGCCGAACACAAAACCCTATGGGATGTGTTAAACAGTTTAACCCCAACCGTGGTCATTTGGTTATTTGGTTAACCATGCATACTCTTTATGCAATTAACACGGAAAGCTGCAGTAATTTGTTGGTGGGGTTTCCGCTGACATGCGTCATTCGTACCGATGATTGCTACCATTACTTTCAGGTAGCCTGATTTGGAATTAATCATTATATCTGTGTCAACGATAAACAATATTGGGAACAAACAAACAATAAATGATTTCAGGGGCTTTCGTAACAAATTTACTTAAGCGCCACACTGTCTTTGATAACCTCGGAAAGCTCGGTTCACTTTTATAAATCCGATACATTAGAGCCATCTTTTGATACATTAGAAACAGGTTGACAGCTGTAATAGGCTGATCAACCCTCAATATGAGCGAGTCTGATTGATATTTAGTGGAATTATCTAGGATACGAGGGCTGGTATACGAGCGCATAACAAATTGCGTAACAGTGTGCGATTTTATAAGCGAAGAATGTGGCATTCGTTAATAGTAGTCAACTGCTTACACAATGTGTGAGATCTAGTCTAGTTATTGCTGCCCATAAACATTCGTTTACATGATGTTGATACTAGATGAAAGGAGGTTATCAGCATTTCATAATCCAGTTACCTGAACACAAGAGCGAATTACAATAGGCAAGTACATATGTTAACCGGTTATGATCAAAAGTTGTGTACTGAACTTGATGACTTTATTTGCGTTCCCCCCTTTTGAGAACGCATAAGCTGTTAGGTGGGCGCCTAGCTAAATGTAAGCTTTAATGACCTGTTTCAGCTCCTCGAACACGCCTAAGCGATTAGAAGAAATCACCTAAGTAGGCATAGTTAAAAATAATAATCGGCTGATCAAGCATCGATGAAGAGCAGATTTTATGACAGTGGTGTGAATATGCTTCTGATGCAAAATGCTTCAGAAACGGTAATTAAAGGAGAGCGAACTTCACCTGTTAGACCCCCAGATCCAGCTTCAATTCTACCCGGCTAAACCAGGAGCCATGCACGGACTGCCTTTTGCATGGCTTATCGACAGCTCATTATATTCGATCACTCAAATCATGAAAATTGTGGAAAAATTTTTGACTACTTTGGTCACAGATGGACCAAGTCAAATAGCCACCACACAACAAGGAAAGTACTAGACAGTCGCATCGTCCTATTTGGATTCTTCAGTAACGCCCATCCACCGGATCCGGCAGAATCAGACCCCCTGACCTTAATATTACGTACGAACCACTTATGTCATTGAGCTGTGCGTGGTCAGCATAACAATTTCCATTTTGACGACATCGAAACTGCTCCAGTACCCTGTGTTTCTAACCGACCATGAATTGACAGGTGGGTAATTGCCGAAATCAGAGTGCGGACGGTTGTCGCAGATGAGCACCAAACCGCGGCCGACTGATTCACAGGGTAATCAGACCTGCTGACATGTGTCACATTCGTAAACCTTGTCTAGTTTAGTTGCCGCAGCGACAAGAATGGATCCTGTCACGATCAGCTTAGGCCGATTCACTAAGCAGTCACTTAAGGTGCAGTGGAATCAAATTACTTGCCACCGTGTGTTTACTTGATGGGATTGGAGTGTGAGTCCGAAGGCTGATTGTCAACTGTACGGCCAGTTCACTTCTCACGTCTAGATATACAGTAAAATTTTCGGAGCTAACAATCTTAATCCAGGCGACGAAAAAATTTATGAAAATGGAAGTTCTGAGTTGTTCAAAAGTTTGCTTTTGACACTGGGTTACTGGATAGAAATATTAGTGTTATCTTCTGAAGGAAAATTTTGCACACAACCGTAAAGTAAATAGGAATTTTTAAGAATAACACCCATGCACAGTATGGATGATATCCGTTTACAAGTGTGAGAAGTGTGTATTCATGCCAGCTTGTAGATGCTACCTCCCAATTGATTCGCAGCCATATAGTCATTCACACATCCGGAAGAGGGCGGCGTCTTACTACTACCATTAGAAATGTTCCGTTGTGTGCATCCCCCGGTTCCACCAGGAACCGGACCCATGACTCCTCGACGCCAACGACCTAGTCCGTTAGATTATGAGTGACGGTATTATTCCAACATGGCTGAGAGAGTACCTGTGATATAGAACAGTTTACCCTCCAATAACATGCAGGTTGCAAAATTCGGAGGTGACGGGGTTGGCACCTCGGAATGCCGCTATGTACCAAACAGCATTTAGAAGTTACAAGGATGGCTTTTTTGATTTTATCATGAGAGAAGGGATTTTGAAGCTCATAACTTGAGTGAAGGAAGGGTGATCCGCGATAGGTTGCAATCAGCTTATAAATCATGTCGGTCTATCGGCAGCTGGCTTGAAGAAATTATGGATGCGATTCCTGATAAAATAAGAGAGTGCACACTACCGCCCGGTTCCAAGAGTATGAAGGACCGTCTAAGACTTTTCGCATGTGTAGATTTACCATCCACTACGCCTTAGTGCTCATTAATCACGTATAACTGTGCATATCAATCTTAGCACATTACCATTTAACTGTGTTTGTTGTAGAGAGAGCAGAATTTTCGGACAGACTGGCTCTGACGGAAACGCAGGTGAAGATATGGTTTCAGAATCGGCGTGCGAAAGCCAAGCGGTTACAAGAGGTGGACTCAAACACACAACAAATACAGTATGGAGAAAACGTAGATATTATTATGGGAACCCAAACAACTGAATGCAAGAGGAACCCACTGCCAAGTCAACTAGTAGAGTCTGTGAATCCACACAATTTGGCGTGTTCGGCTACCCCACTGTTGTCGGTCAGCGGCATCGAAGGTGTGGAAGAAGCATCAAGTGGATTGTGGACACAAAGAATAGCGGGAAATAAAACTGCCCGTCCATCTTCTAGCAGCATACCAAATGAGAATCCTTTGAGCACGGCAAAGTATCCTAAAGACCGGCTTCGTCACGGCACGTCACTTTGGAACTCAGAGACACATGCAACAGATTTAGAAAACAACGTCAATCCCATTTATTCACGTGCAACAAAACACACTATCTCCTATTTCTCCACAGCCAGATGCGGGCCAAACTCCTCACTTTCAGACCAACTACCATCTGAAATCTACCCACGTCTGACCTCACAGAACCTGGCATTATTTCCTGCAATAATGGACAATCTTCTATCCACAATGTGCTCCCATCGATGGTCAACAGATAAGCAGCCCTCTGTGAACAATATATGAACTTTTTAATTTTCTTGAAAAAATTTTCCATTTTCTTATTGGTTTCCGATGATCGGCTACTCCGTGTAAATGTTACTTCGAGGAAATTACAGGCTATTCATATCATATATTGAACCAATTGCAGGAACGTTCATTGCTCAAAATTTGGAACTGGTCTGCCCGTTCCTCTAAACCACTCGCTTCATGTTGGATGTGGACGGAACTTGAAGTATTGTCTGCCGTGTGCCATTTCCAACCTTATCCACGTTAGTGGGAGATTTTTCTTAGTTGGTAGCTTCAAATTCCATTTGATTAGACTTACACATCCTTGTGATGCACCAGGGGAGACTGCTGTGATATGAACGTAGACAATCTAAGTAGGCAAGGAGATGCGCTACAGAGTTCCATCAGACCTCCTAGCGCCTCAAACAACTGCAAGGTGCATGATATACCTGAACCTATTTGTATGCTAATTTGCGAACGCCAACACAGTTTGAACCACACCAGGCTAATTTGTACTGTGCTCTGATTGTGCTTTGGTGGACAAGGTGATTAACGCTTGCAACGAAGCTGTTCACACATTAACAAATTACATGCACGTCAGTCAGGCTTGGTTGAAATCTGAACGCTAAATCTTGCATGTCCGAGTCAAATGGAATGAGTGTGTGCGTAGTCACACAACCAATTCAATACTGCAGTGGATTAAAACAAAGTGGACTACACTCAATTAATAAAAAGCTATAGAGAAATGGCTGAATAGTTTAACTGCACGGGTTTATTTTGAAATCTATACAAAATGTCTACAGATATTGCAATAAATTCGAAAGCATTAAGGTGCTTTATTTCAGCGATGATCACTGACAGACGGCAGAAACCGAATAAGCTCACTCTACACCGCTGGCCTTAAGAGATAATTCGTGGAAGAAGAGACGGAAGTCCTGATCTAGTAATTTATTTTAGGTTACGCTTAATTAGACAGTGGGCGCTGAGCTGGACAACGGAACAATGGAACAATGGTCTATTGCGAGCAAAAAGACGGATGCTTAGCATGACACATAAGATGGCCAGAAAAAGAACCACAACATGATGAGTAAAAAACAAAGGGATAAAACGAAAATCTTTTTTTTAATTCACCACAGTTTTAACAAATTGGCATGTAAAAAGCGCCAACTTCAGACGTGTAAGTTACTTCTGGTTGTGCAACTTTCGTCGCATTGTATCATCCGTCGAGACACGCAGGCTCTATCTCTCAGTGTAGGTGGGTTAGAGCAACCTCAGGGGGTTCTTTATCCACAGGTACAGTTGGGGGCAGAAATAACATAATTTGAGAGAGCGTTCCATAGCTAGCACACACGAGGAGAGTAAAAGTTCGGTCGACCTTTTAGACTACTGTATTGTGTGGTTGATTTGGACTGGTGGCCCCTCAAATTCGTGTTGTGGCTCAATTGTAGTAGGTGACGGCATACGTAGATTGGGTTCCGTAGAATCTGGTAAACCCTAAGGAGGTCACCGTCTAAGAGCAGGTACCGACCACTGTATACTTTATGGTCCTTATTCTAAGTCGATAAGGAAGAAACAACAACTCTTTGACTGCTTCGTGGTTCTTCACTGTGGAGTCTCGAGCGCTGCAAGGTCTTGATTCTGCCGGGGCTGCCAAGCCTGGAGTGTGCATTCTACATGAGGCCGCAGGTAGGTGTTAAGCAACTCCGAACAGACAGAGGGATCAAACCGTCCAAATGCTCTTCGCAAAGTACCAACTTATTGGTTTCCAGTTTTTGACGACTTCACAGATTTTTCTGAGCAGCCCAGATCAGTCTGAACTAGTGCCCCAAGGTCGCGCTCCTTGATGCCTGCTTGCAGGACATGGTCTCCAAGATTGTATGTGATGTTCGGCTAGTGGCGAATATGAACCACCTTAAATTTCCCCGGACTGGACTGGAGCAGATTGTGGAGTGACTACCCAAACGCTCTGTCCAGGTCACACTGAAGTGCATCTTGATCTGCTGGGTCGACAATGGTACGACACCTTTTAATATTATTAGGAAACAGCAAGAAATTCGAGGCAACCAAATGCGCCAGCTCTTTACTGAACACGAGAAACAGACGCGACCCCAGAAACAAGCCTTGTGGAACTACTAATTGGACATAAATCGGATCGCACAGCGCAATTCGAACTCGGAACTGCAGTTGTCAGTACTGCCGAAAATTCCTGTTCCACCCAAGGATAGGATCATCTACTCCATAGCTTTCGAGCCTGTGAAGTAGAATGCGGTGGTCTACTCATTCGAAGGCTTTAGAGGAGTCAAATAACGTCTATCCCTCTGCCTGTATCAACCGCTTCCGTCCAACTACTGCGTACACTCAGTAGGTTGGTAGTGCATGAACGATGTTGGCGGAAACCGTGTTTCTCGGGTGCTTTGATGTTGTGACGTTCTAGACGGTCCACTAAAGCCTCAGCGAAGATCGTCTCTATCACAGGGAGAAGGAACACTGGGTGATGTTTGACGGGTTCCAAGCGATTATCGCTTTGAAAATTGGGGTGATTACGCCGTGTCCACTTAGTAAGCACAATTTGCTTATCCAAGCACGTTTGGAGGAAATGCGATAATGGCGCGGCCACCGTTGTTGCTGCTACGTTCCGCGCCCTCGGGTGAATATAATCGATACCGGGAAAGCTGTAGGTGCGTAGTGAGAGCAGTTGCTTCAACACAGCTGTGGCAGCAAAATAGATGTTAGGGCGTGTTGAAGTTGTGTCACACTGACGGACGTCTTCTAGGAGGTTGCGGCATCCTGCATTCGTAGGGCGTTGGCTGCCTCTTTGGCACTCTGTGCCACTACGACTGGCGTGTTAAGTGGGGGGATAGCGAGCTTTACATGGTGTTTTAGAAGCGTCTACTTTAGAGTCAGCTGCTGTTCTAAACGCCGTCGTTAATAATGCTTAAGTCTGAAGCTTTTGGGGTAACGAGTCGAGTATGGAGAATCTCTAGCATTAAGGGTGCTTTTCAAAACTCTGCATTACTCAAAAACCCTGTGAATACATCTCTAAGTCAGTTCCCGGCGGACTTCAACGAATTCTTGTTGAAGACTTGCAAAGTGTCTCCTTAGGTAAGAAGGTTGTAGCTAATTACCTCGGCATGTTTACACATTGCTTTACGACCCAAGAGCAGGGAGCCTGAGAGGAGAATTGCGTACATCGGAAAGCTACTTGTTCATTGATGGATGTACTCACTTGTGTGCGACACGCGGCTTGTGCTAAAGCGTCTAACACTCCAAAAGAGTCCATAGCGCTTTCACCGAAAGCGATCGATAAAGTGTAGTCAACAAACTTCTAATTAGGTTGTTTCTTTGCGGACAATACACTTCTCCTTCCCCGTTGACGTTACTGATGCTTTCCATCGCCACTTCTTTGTCTGTTGGAGGCTTGTCGAAAGCTCGTGTTGATCTTCATTAGCACGCATTAGTCTGGAACTGGGGCTCAATTATAATCAGCGTGTTAGTTCAATTTCGAAACCACTAAGAAGCAATCCTATCTCATTTCAAAAAGGACGACTAGTTCACCGTGTGTCCACGTGTACGCAAATAAAATTTCCAGTTGAAATGTCTCGGAGGTTTGCTACTGTTCCCGATTGTTTGTATCCTACACTAGATGTGGACTCATGTTCCGACTAACATGTATCTAGGAGGACAGGATTGTTGTCACAAATTCTAAATATTGGTAAAACAAGCATCGATCTGTAACTGGGGATTTTCGCAGCATGCACAACACACCAGTGCAAACGTTTAAGGTCACAAGCACGTTTTCGGCTCACTACACAAAGTAGTGGTAACCTGTAGACACATTGCTCCAGATCAACTGGAAACGCACGAATAACGAATCACTCATCTTGCTTATCCCTGTTTTTCCGTCATGAGTATTGATATTTTGTCTCTCAACTTGTTGCTGTGTGTGGAACCTCTTAAGTGGCGTGATGTGAAGCGCAAGCTTACTGAGTTCAGTGGTTAAATGGTAATGCATAGGACGTATGACATCTCAGCGTATCAGCACTGCCTCAAAGATTTTATTAGGATATCCTATCGCATTGTCATTTGTAGATCGATGCGTCGCGCCTGAACTTGATCCATTAGCGCTACGCAGAACAAAATTAAGCCGTTCGTCATATTTGATAGTCTCGGCAAAATATACATGCTACAAATTCAATAGTACAACTCTAAAGGCCTACAAGATATCAAACAAGAAACAACTGTGTCCCTGTGGTAGTGAAGGGAACGAGAACGAAGCGGTGGAAAAATATTTTCCTTAAACCGACACTCCATATATAATGAAAAAGACTTCCAAAAGAGGTAGGTGAACTTCTATCAGCAAGTAGGTTTCGCGGAGTTAAACATTAGCTTCTCATTGTGAAAAGGGCTACTTATATTTTGAAGCAAAATTCGACAAAGAAATCAGCTTATGAAATATGTGCAAGATGTATTTGATTTCAATGACGTGTTATCATTTTTGTCATCTGAAACCATTCTTTAAAAATACAACAAAACTTATTTGTTGGCGGTTTTCTGAAGCTTTGGGATAAGGAAAATGTCAGCAATGCGATTTTTAGTATGGTAGCAAAAATATTCGCGTAATCCTGCGTTTAAACTGACTAAGACACAAATTTGTCTTTACAAGTTGTTTTCATTTGCGCTGAGCTGCTAACGGATTATTAAAGTATAGTATGGGATTTTTTTGTTTTCGTGAAGATTCGTCTCAGCTAGACACAGCTAGACAGCCATTGTACATCCAATAGAACACTAGACGGCAGTTTCATCCCATCGGGACTAGTCAGTAGCGCACATCCACCGAATCGTCCCGGATTCGAACCCATGACTTTACTATTACAAGTCAGCGACCAGTACAATGCTTCTCAACCTGTGGGTAATTAGTCCCACGGGGATCAAATGGAATTTTGCGTGGGGGAAATATAAGTGCGAGGATCGGGTCAGCAATCTGCCACTAAACAATAGTATTAGCAAAATGATTTATACACGAACATATAACGAACTACCTAAGCACTATTGATTAACCATCAGTGTCTAATCATTAGTGCGTGTTCAGTGAAT